CTCTCTCTCTCTCTCTCTCTCTCTCTCTCTCTCTCTCTCTCTCTCTCTCTGCCATTCTCAGTATCTATCTATAACTATCTTTAACTCATCGAGTTAGTAAAAGAATGGAACGATCGTCTGATTTGTTAATCGGTAATCAGAAACGCACTAATAGTCAGATTTTGACTGCTACGCGACAAGAAGCGGCGCGGCAGTTAAAATCTAGAGTTCGTACGGAAAAGCGGCACACTGATTGGCTACCGCATTTCGCTACTTGCCGCGGCGAGCGCTTGCGCGTTGTGTGTATCTTCGATCTATCTCTTTCCCTCCATCAACCGCCATTGACACATCGATCGACATCACTCTACGTTTCACGCGTCTTTTGTTCGTCGCAAGTGAGTCTCGCGCGAAAATAAGTATCAGGAGTGTGAGACAACAGTGATGCACGATCGCCGGAACGTGTCGCAGGTATGTTATTAAGGCGTAATCTTCTCGTTTCGTGGTTATGTGGTTTAACAACCAACCGCTGCTTATCGCGACGTGTCGATTCGGCGTCTGTCTCTCATTATTATCTTTGATTCAATCAGATAATAATAGAATCGGATGATCGTTGAATTTATCACTCGGGAATTCGAAGAGGGAAAAGAAAGAAATAGTAGCGCGTCGTTGTAGGAACGCGACGTTTCATTTCGCGATTCCGATCCCTTGTTCAGGCACACTTAAACGTGGAATATTCTTCGGTGTATCTGTCGCGATAATAATAAGTGGCTGCTGGAATTTTCGTGAAATATGAGTGTAGAACATGGAGCAGCGACCCGTTGCGCAATTCACAGGGGAGGGAAAAAAGAATTTTATCGCTAGAGTGAGTCGTGGATGATCCGAATGGGCTACGGTGTGTTTCCTGTTTTCTGCGGCGCGGCCTCAATTTGCGTCATTCGACCTACACATTAGACTAAAATTACCGATCGACAATCATGAAACTATTTCAAGACGAGATTCGCGAATTACGTGTAAACGAGCGGGTGGCAGTCTTTCGACGCGTCCTACGTGACGACGATGACGCGCGTGACTTGAATGAGACTTACGAATTTGCTATAAAAGAGTGTCTTAACATTCATCACGAAATTATAAACGCAGGTTACAAAAACAAAGAGAGTGTTTCACCTCCGTCGCGAATGTAAAAACAGTCTCTTGTGAGAAGAATGCGTCCCTTTAATTAGTAAACCAAGGGCCAATTTGCGCACGTTGCTGCAACAAACGGCGCAATTGTGTTACGGTGAATGACCACGCTGGGCTTTTCTAACGTTTTCTACTTTGCGTTAATAATGTGAGAGGGTGCGGAAAGAGCGGGATCGCACTTACGACAAATTAACCGAACCGGTCAACGGCGTACGCCGTCACGGCGAGTTAAACAACAACGCGCGGAACGGATAGGAATTAAATGTGCTTCGGTGAAATAAAAGAAGTGGACTCGGACGTGCATGGTCAGCCGGAAGAATTGTCTTGTACGGGCAGTTTTGCGAAGCTCAGCTTCGACTTCCTCGTTGCAGCGTGCGGTAGCGTGCGTGGGCGCCCTCTTTTCTACGAAATAAAATGAATCAGGCGGTGACGCGATATATACAAATATATATATATATATATATATATATATATATATATATATGTACGTGATAAAGTTTCAATTGCAAATATAAATTTGAGGATGCGCGCGACGCGTCTCACGTAGGAAATTTTATCGCGATGCCACATTCCTCCGACGAAATATTCTCATTTTCATAATTGTCGCATGGAATGTAACTCGTAAGCACCGTCGCGGCGCAATTAAAGCTCGAGATTCCTGTTACGAGGGCTTCCACTTCGGCACGGATTGCGCTTGAATTCGCCATTGTAATCGAAAATTTCTGTAATCAGCATCGTTGCGCGATAGGCGCGTCGAACAACCAATAATTGCCAATCCCTATGGCTTAAGCAGCCTATAACTATTAATATCGACCAATAATACGGAAACAATTGACCACCTGCTAGATAATAACCTTGACGTCCCGTGATCCTCCTGTCGGCGACTGGTGCGAATTATGCAGCGATAATAAGGAAGATGCAAACGAGAAAGTAAGGGATATACGCGTTCGTATAATTAATATGAATTTATTATGCCATAATGGATTTATATAATACATACATAATATAAATATCAATGTTATATTATACATAATATGTACACACACAAATTCTTTTCAAATCCTTTTCAAATTATTTTCAAATTTCTTTTCAAATTTTTCGTCAGGTTAAAACTGCTGGCTTCTCATTGAGGTCATTTTGATTTATGACGTCGGGGGCGGGAAAATGCATGCTCAAAATCCTTACAAAATACGTTGAAATAAAAAAAACGTGTCCAAACAATGACACTCGCAATCTATTAAATACACCTCTAAAATATCCCAAACGCTCTGCTTTTGCTCTAATAATCAATAAATAACTGTAAAATTAATACAATATGCAACCTTTCTGTTTAACCTACATTTTTCCATTGTTTTATCATGTTAATTATATGATTATTTGTCGATTATCAGAACAAAAGGAAAGCATTTGAGGATCTTAAAGATCTTAAAGATGTGCTTAATCGATTGCAAATGTCATTTTTTGTATATACCTTTTTATTTTAATGTACTTTGCATGAATTTTTTTGCACTGTTTTTCATTTCGCCAAAACGCCGTCATTTCTTCAGCGATATTAAGTGACGTCAAGTCGTTGACGCAATCATTCTTTGTGCCATAAAGAACACATAACGTACGGTCGGTTTCGCGAAACAATTTGGACTCGGTGTGTTATCTGTGCGCGGCCAGCAAATTACATATACCCTAATATAAACGACGCTATTCAAATCACTCGTAACGTATCACCTAACGCACCGCGCCGCGCTCGCGATGTCAACCGCGGCGAAATTAACGGAGCGTGCAATGACGTTTTGCAATGACAAAGGTATTCACTAGCAAATACCTACGCGGTGATGAATTTTAGTTCAATCCGCGCTGCAAGGACAGAACAATGGACGCCAGATAAGGTCGTCAAAATGTATAGGGCCGGAGTATAAATTATCCTTTCCACGCACATGAATATGAATGGCGGCGTGGATTTTACATTATAAAATTGCGCCGCGCTATTGGAAATCGAAGGGACCGGCGGGGCCGCGCGCATCTGAGGATCGCGCGCCTCCCTTAACCATTATAATCTCCAACTAATAACGGGCCGCACGTTGGATGAAATTTATCGAGTTAATAAGTTATGGGTTTACTCGACCGCGAGTAAAATAATTAGGTGGTTGAGTGATTAACGTAATTACTATTGCGAATAATGATGGTAATAGCAACACAGTTATTATTATTATATTATTGTAATCGCGTTGCGCGACGCGCGCGCAGCACGCATACCGAAGCGCGCGCACGAGTGGCCACCGCGTTGCCGCGCAATTGCCGCGCAAATTGCCTGTAAGAACTATCTTTTTAATTGCACCGGACATTTCATTACGTCCGAAGTAACAGCAATTTAATTACGTTTGTGTGTCAGTCGGGGACACAATGGAACGTTGCACTTCGACCGCAAATTGCCGTAATTGGGCGTTGCATTTGTAATTATAACATTCGCGGATAAAATGGATAAACTTGATGCGATTTAATAAATCGCGCAACAACGGACTCGTTGTTGCTGCTGCTGCTGCTGCTGCTGCAGTTGCTGTTGTTGTTGTTGCTGCCACCACTCTGCTATCATTGCGCGTAATAATACTTAAACATGTAGAAATCCGCGTATTATTGTTAATAATACGCGGATTTGACGAATTCTCTGATTTGACGAATATACAATGCACGTTGTATACGATAATTAACAACATTCGTAATTAACCAGGTACGCGCGCTACCGTTAGTTCACGCTGTTTGTAGTATATTTCAACATATGACCTCTCCTCTCTCTCCCCACTCCTGTCTCTATCTCGACGTCAGCCATTTCACCCGGACGAAATAATAATCTCACATTGTCCACCATTAATATTATTCGCGCGTGCGCGAATGCTTGCGGGTGTGTGATGCGCGCTTATTAAAAAAAAAAAAAAATAAGAATATCGGTGAAAAAGGAAGAAGAGAAGAGATTCACTCGGGATAAAACCCATATTATGCAGGTGATCGAAGTAACGTCGCGAATTCCAATACGGCGGTGGCGTTGCAAAATTATTATCTCGCGTACCACCATCGCTATCATCACCACCATCGCTGCTACGTACAGCGAAGGGAATTTTGAATTGTATTATTTTAGGAGGAATGACGTCAAAGAGAGAGAAAGAGAGGGAGGAAAAGAGAGAGAGAGAGAGAACGGAACAATTCCACCTGTCGCGGGCGTTCGACGAGCGTGCTCGAAAACCGCGGCGATTCGTACTTCCGCGCAGCGAGAAATGTTGCGGAAAAACGAGCGGGAAATCGGTACCCGCCGCTACAATCACCGCGTCGACAATAAACAAGTACCTCTTGTACTCAATTCCCCACCGAGCTGACGGAGGCTCGCGCGATTCGCCGTTGGCGGGCGCGAATCTAAACGTCAAGAGTTTCGCAACAGATGGAGAGAAATCGTGAGCCGACGTTGGTGAAATTACGCCTCTGTCGCGCGCACGAGGTTGTGAATAGGCCGCGAGCGATCGCGAAAATAAGACGGCAGGGAGAGAAAGAGAGAGAGAAGGAGATCGTAATAATCGCGATCCCTTACATACGGCGCGAAGCGGCGCGCGATAACGCGCAGCAATAAATAGTTTGATAAGTTAGGACGGGCCGTCCCGCGACGCGACGTTTCGCCATAAATTTGATCGAGATATATTTTCCATCAGGTAGAGAGAAGAGTCGCGCAGAGCGGCATAGCGAAACGTGTCTGTCGTGCATTCGTTACAGTTATAAATAACCCGTGGGCGATGGTGAAAATAGCGGCCAGGGGCGTAATGCACGGCGCCCCGAGTCGCGCTGCGAAATATCATGTGAGCGTAGTCATCTGTATACACCTGTGTGTGTGCGCCGTGCAATTGCACAAGTACTGTAAAATAAATCCCCGGGGTTAACGACGCCTGAGAGAGAGAGAAAGAGAGAGAGAGAGAAAGGTACCCATCACAACGATATGACGATAATATTCAGTACGTCGCTCGCCGCGTTACGTGCTCCCCTTACGGATCACAGTCTTGGATGGTTATTTGCAGTTGTAAATTATGTGCAATCTTTGATCGCGAGGCTACTTAATTCATCGCGGATTTATGCTTAATTAATATTTAATTCATTCGTGTTTACTGATCGCCATTCGGTTGCTTCGATCAATATCTCATCTAATCAGAAATGCATGAAACTCGAATTATTTGTCGAGTGATAACGGACTATGTAAATATCGGCTTTCATTGATTTGGAGGAGTATTTCTAGAAGAGTCTGTTTTAGAATCAATGAA